CCTCTTTATCGTAATCGCTGCCTTCGAAAAAGTGGATGAAAGATCGGTCCGTGGTTCGATTCCCCACGGCGACAGTCTTGCCTACTCGACGACGATTCCACGAATGGTCTACGAGACTAATAATGGATATCTTATTGCCATAGGGACCATCAGTAATCTAATGGTAAGAAGTGCTGATGTAGGTTTTCATCAGAAACTAATGTGAAAAAGATGTAGCGCTTGAGCTTTTGAGCTAATTTTTTAGCCTTCGGAGGGCCACGCAGGAAAAATTAAAATAGTTCTGTTTCCCATGCATGTGCTCCTACATCATGCAAGACACCCTGGAAGATTCCCTGGTAGGCTTGGGATCAGTGAACTCCTGGATCTGGGTCACTTTTATCGAGCCTCTCTAGATAGGTATAGGCGATACTCTTCTCACGTGGTACATAGATTCATTTTGTCACGCCTCCCTCTTGACGCCCCACCCTTACCTCCTCTCGATCACAAATTTTTCTACCTATGTAAGCTAAATCAAAGATGCCTACTTGTTCCAACCTTCTCCTTTTCTAGCATTACCCAAAACTTACTCCGCCCATTTATAGTGCATTGCAGTCTTCTTCATGTTCCTGAGGGGTTAGATTTTCTGGCACTCTTGGGCTTTGGGAAAGGGTTTGCACGTTTGCACTTTCCACGAGAAAAACCGACAAGGGTCAGAAAACCAAACAGCTTCCTGCATTCGCAGTACATAATGCAGAAATGTCCCTCATGACGTACGATTCTGCATTATGTTATGTTCAGAGGAACAAGAAAAAGAAGGTAAAGAATGGGGGCGAGGGAGCACGCTATTCAAAAATGCAAATTCCGACGCGAAATGTTGGCAAATTGAATTTCGGCTGAATCTGATGATCGACAGAGGAATCGCCTTGCTCAACGCCAGCAGCCATTTCTCTCTGCAAAGGGCTAAAGTGTTAGCTAGACATTCCATCATTTGCGAATCGATGTATAAGCAGAATAAAACCTTATCTTAGCCCTGTTTCAGGCGTTTATCGATTGGTCGAGATGCAAGTGAACCACCCGTCAATCACGCGTGAAATGCTCGGCGATGGTTGGGCTGAACACCTCGACCCGGCTGAGGTTGCCTCAGCAGAATATTCAAGGTGAGTTGAGGTTGCACCTAGCCATGGAGGGGGAAGAACCTTGAACTGCCCGCCTGGTCAAGCATGCAGAGTCCCGAAGCAGGTTTTTTCCTGATGTACCTGGACTTTCTGCGAAGTTGAGGGCGAGATGATTATCCATTCCAAAAAGAGCTTCACCATTGGTATTATAGTGAACACTTTAGAGTGCGCAGGACGAAACTGGCTAGAAAACCATAAATACTGTTACTTCTGAAGAATCGATTTGTTCAGCAATTCTTCATCAATTTTGCTGACTCTCCCTTGAGGATGGCGTAGACGTTGGACGTGTACGGTCGGAAATCTATTGACTTGAAGTGCAGCAAACACTCGAATCTCTTTCTCTTTCTCTCTTTCTAAGCTTCCCCTTATTTTTATATTTAGAGCTTTTTTGAAGCTTACCTCCATAATCGGCTGTGTTAAGGCAATGAGGGACTAACAATAAGCGCGAAGAGGATAGTGGAGACAGAGGCGCAATAGGATGCGAGGGGTGGGGGGCAGACAACCCCATGCATGATAAATAAAATTCCAGCTCTGCACACGCAGAATGTGGTGAATAATACTCTTGATGGTTCAATCCCCCGCGGCGACTAAATTTTGCAATCAAGGTTGGCGGCCACTTGTTGGCTTCAAAATGGTCCTGACGATGAATTTGACATCTGATTTTGATATTTAGCGCGATTTGGCACCAAACCGTAGGCGCCAACCCAAATGCAAAATTTAGTCGCCACGGGGGATCGAACCCTTAACAGTACCTTATGCTTCTTTTTTGGTACTGCTATAACCGTTCAGCGAAAATGAAACATGGTTTTGCGTTCCCTACATGCGTCCCTACAATATGCACAAAACCGTTTTGAAAAAGCGCACCTTGCCCTGAAAGACCTCCCTTGTTAGGAGGCGCTCTTGTCGGCTGATTTCCGTGTACGGGTATACCACATCTGTGATTTTCCTTGAAGAGTCTATCCTACAGACCGAAGGGAATCGTTTACATGACTACTGCCTAGGTTGTGCCTTCTGAACGAGTTCATTTCAGTGACATCTCGCCGATCATCCTGGCAGCCCAGCTGAATCAGTTTGAGATTCTGCAAATTGTTGCTCAGAAAGCTGGCACGAATTGATAAGGCCTACTTCGGTAGTGCCCAGGCGTCACATGAAAACGCCCAGGGCTGAACCCATCCTACAGCCCTTATTCTATGAATTTGAAGATACTCCTGCATTTGCGAGACATGCGATCGAGAACGATTAAACGACTCGCTACAGTACTCACTGAAACGGATCAACACATATCGAGCTCTTGCCAGTCCGGCTTGGATGAGCCTGACCAGGTATGCGCCATACCTACGGTTTCTTTTATATTTCAGACATTTTTCTTTAATACTATCTAAGAACCAAGTGGAAGACGGAAATTGCTCATTCACTCCAATGTCTCTTCTCCCCCTCTCAAGGCTTACTTCAGAGTTCACAAAGAAAAAGGTGCTCTAAAGGTGTTCCTACGATAAAAATGCATTACATGCGCGTTCCAAAAACATTGTCACATAATGTCCCCCTATTTTGCGATAGCGCTTAAGAAATTATAGTAATGGATATCTAAATGAAAGAATATAACATATTCGAAGTTTGAAATGATCCTTTGACAAATATGTTGCATTTGATCATAAACGTAATAAGTTGTTATTTTCTTATTTCAATTTCAAGTTACGTCTGTTCCAGCCCGGATCCTATTCTTTCTGCTTTCAAACTCAGTTGGGAGCTACAACATCTGTCAGCAGTGGAGCACGAGTTCAAAGAGACGTACCTCCAGGTTGGCGCTTCACGCACAGTTTTCCTATATGAATACCTGGTGCTCCAATTTTTTCCCTTTCAAATAAACAGACCGAAGCGAAGGCAATCTGTCTGTAGGAGTCTTTTTTTGTCAGCAGAAAATGAAAAATACGATATAGGGAGCTAATAGGTGAGAGTTCTTACAATTTTCAGCTCGCTGAGCAATGTAAGCAGTTCGCATGTGATCTCATCAGTCAGTGTCGGAGTAGTGAAGAGGTGAGTCATTGAGTTCCAACTAAAATCGAGGGAAAAATCTGCGAGTGGACATCAATGCAAGTCCAAAAACTGCCATTTTAAGGTGATAGCGGTACTGAACAAGGACTACAACACTCACGATGAGAACGTGGACGTGTGGGCGTCAAAACTGAGTTTATCGCGTCTGAAGTTTGGCCATCAAATACGAACAGAAAGCTGTGAGTTATTCTACAAGCATTCTTTGGAAGTAGGGGCATTGCAGATTGCATTGCGGGAGTTGGATTCCATGTGAAGAGCTTTTGGATTAATCCTTGCTAGTTAAATTCACCATGGACTCAACTTTCTCGGCAATCGCATCCCACTGCAAGAAGAATTGGAACGGATACAAAACCTGTGAGATGCCGCCTGACGCCCTTCCTTTTTAGTAGTACGAATGAGAAGCGCATGAGCTCATTCAAGAACCAATTGGGAAGAAGATAGGAAAAATGAAGGACAATGAAAAAAAGAAGATAAAGTGAAATCTGCGATTAGGTCTCTCTGGCCCCTGCAATCCTCAAATGTAAGCCCATTCATGGAAAACAGTCTTAGTTGATGGTACAGTGAAGCAAAGTCACTTATGAACCGTACCTTTCCAGTTTCAACCAATCACCACCTATGTACAGCTCGAAGCAGAGGATTACGCTAAGAGAGAAGAGGAAAGATCCTTTCAAATTTCTTGCCGTTTTCCTTCGGTGAAACTCCAGTTCGGGGGGGGGGGGCACTCCATTGCTATCTTATCCGTAGTACTAGAGAGCAGTTCTTTGGGCTATCGAACACTACGGATAAGATAATAAGTGAACGACTCATTTCGAGCGTACTTTTGATAAGGACCGGTGGATGTCCTACATTCCACACTACCTGCCCACATCCCATCCACTTTTCTGCACAGGTGATCCACCCTGGAGCTCCTGCACCCTTAGCCCTTTGCGGAGGTGTCCTTTCTCCTGGTCCAGGACCGTTCCCTTGGGTCATGGCAGGCGGAAATGTGAAAACGTTTCAGGGTTTCTCACCCATTACACCAATATTTATCAGAAGTCTACTTTAAATGAGTCGATTACGTGTCGTGAGCCCTCTAATCCTTATCTTGAGTATTGGAGAAAAATGGAGTGGCCCCCCGAACTGGAGTTTCACCCTTCTTTTTTGCCAT